TTTTTTTAAGTGGAAGGAGGAAAGTTAGGCGAGAATGTTTCAAACTACCAATTTAAATGCCGATCCGATGAGCCGGCCAATATGCCTCGCAGAGTGCAAGGTTATTAAGACATAGTCTGGTCGGCGGCACACGGTCGGCTAGTTTAGGTAGATTGGTCCAGGAGACCAGTGCATTTTCGAGAGCTCATTGTCATCGACGGCAGGCTAAGCATGACTCCGGATTATTCAATGATTGCATTATTTAAAATGCAAACATATATTTTTTTAAGATATATGTGTATAAATTATATTATATTTTTTTATATCAGACTTATATTTTAAAGTTTGAATTTAAATTACATTTTATGTGAATCGATTTTAAAAATAATGTTTTATACAAACATTTATACAAACATTTATTGTCGCAATGCTAGAAACACGATTCGCTCTCATTCGAAGAAATGATTTTGTATCTTGCGATTGCGGTGAAGATCTTTTTTATAAGGAATGTGAATTCGAAATGATACATTTCATTATAAATTCTTGGTGAAAAATATAAAGACACATCAGAAAATATTTTTTAAATTCCAATGCAGTAAACAAGATATCACAATACAAAAATACACAAGCCTTTTTCGGTATAAAAGTTTTCTACTATTCATTTTCATAAATCTTACATAAATTTTACCAATGATTGCAATCGTAAATCTTCGATAAATATTTTTTCCTCTTGGCGATACCTTGACATTGTTTATTTTTACAATAAAATTGCGTAGAAAATAAATAATTTATATATTATATACATACAGAGTGTCCCAAAAATCCCGGACCGGTCGAATATTTCATAAACTATGCACTTTAGAAAGAAATGTTTCAAACAAAAGTTGTATGGTTTGAAGGGGGCCATCAGATAGTGGCAATGATTTGACATGCGAGAGTCATTTGAAAGTCACGTGAAGATCACTGTCAATTTCTTAAACGGAACGCTCTATTTTTATTACATATTCGTATAGCTTATCTCGAGAGCTTTCTAAAACACTATAATAAAGTATTTCTTCATTGAGTATTTCTTCTTTTCTAAAACACTATAATAAAGTATTTCTTCATTGAGTATTTCTTCTTTTCGAGTTATGAGGCTCGAAATCATTTCTTAATTTTGCATAAACCATAAAATATCTAGTAAAATATTCAAATAATAATTGTTAATTGCAAATTACATATTTTTTTTAAAAACAACTATGTTTTTTCTTTACACCAATTGATTCCTCTCATTATTTTGTACATAAAATTATTAAAATAAGATAATCGAAAAATGAATATTTTACAAGATATTTTACGGTTTATGTAAAATTAAGAAATGATTTCAAGCCTCATAACTCGAAAAGTACTCAATGAAGAAATACTTTATTATAGTGTTTTGGAAAGCTCTCGAGATAAGCTACACGAATATGTAATAAAAAATGTAATAAAAAATAAGGAAGTTCTATTTAAGAAATTGATGGTGTTCTTTAAATGAGTCTTTCGTGGCTTTCAAATGACTGTCCCATGTCAAATCATTGCCACTATCTGATGGTCCCCTTCAAGCCATACATCTTTTGTCTGAAACATTTCTTTCTAAAGTGCACAGTTTATGAAATATTCGACCGGTCCGGGACTTTTGGGACACTCTGTATACATTGCACAAAAACGAGAATTTTTTACTTGCTTTCAATCTTCTATAATTTTATTCTAAATATTTTTGGCATACAATGTCAACTATTTCTATATCAATAAATTCTACAATGTTTTCGGGTTAATGTCGATTTTGGCATTTCTGTTTCGGTGAAAGGGGAGCACTAACCCGACCGTAGGCAAGGACGAGTGCTCGAGGCGCCGTCGAAGAAAAACAATAAAACGAGAATTGGCACGTCTGGCGAAACAGTTGAGTGCCGTCAATCTGGCCGACTTGCCAGGACGTGCATCTAACTTTCTCGCATTATATGCACGAATTATCGTCATACGTCTCTGAGTAACGTGGCTCTGACAATGTCACTGACACATTCTATGTCCATTAAAAATACTTAAAGTAACAATATATAAAAAATTTATAAAATGTTTAAAAAAAATTTAACATCTTTATAGAGAATTTTAATTTCAGTTTTATCATAAGAAATAGCTATATATATTTTTTAAATGTGTGCGTTAATTTGAATTTTGTAAATTGCCCCCCAAAGAAATTTACAAAATTCTATTCAATTATCAAACGTGACAATTATAGATAATAAAAATGTATAATAGAATAGATAATTTATTAGAGATCTATTAGAATAGATTAGAATTGAAAACATTATTGATATATATTTTTTTATTTTCAAAATATCACAAATTTTTCTTTCCAAAACTAATTAAACATATAGCTTAAATAGAAACAACTTTATCAAGAAATTGCTGATTATTTAAAATGCAAATATATATTTTTTTAAGATATATGTGTGTAAATTATATTATATTTTTTTTATATTAGACTTATATTTTAAAGTTTGAATTTAAATTACATTTTATGTGAATCGATTTTAAAAATAATGTTTTATACAAACATTGCAAAAACAACACACTAGATAAATTGTAATATTAAAATATGTAATTTTATTCTAAAGAAAGCTGGATTTAATATAAAGCTTTCAAATATAATATTTACATATATTTATTGCAAAACTGATATCTCTGTTATAGAATGATTTCTGATTTACTATTCATTTGTCATTTGTTCATGAAACGCCCTTTGCTAGCGATATATAGTGGCGCCAAGATCTGAAATAAATTTTTCCTTGGCATCCTTTCGATCTGGTTGGCGACAAATAAGATAACCCTTCCTTCAGTTTCATGTTACAATTTTCAGTTATCGCAACTGACACAAAAGCCATGACACAATTATAATGACCTAATAGAATGATCTATAAGAACAAATTATATAAAAAATTCTGTATTTATATATACAGAGTGTCCTAAAAGTCCCGGACAAGTCGAATATTTCATAAACTATGCACTTTAGAAAGAAATGTTTCAAACAAAAGTTGTATGGCTTGAAGGGGGCCATCAGATAGTGGCAATGATTTGACATGGGAGAATCATTTGAAAGTGAAGATCACCGACAATTTCTTAAATGGAACCCTTTATTTTTTATTACATATTCGTGTAGCTTATCTCGAGAGCTTTCCAAAACAGTATAATAAAGTATTTCTTCAATGAATACTTTTCGAGTTATGAAGCTTGAAATCATTTCTTAATTTTGCATAAACCATAAAATATCTAGTAAAATATTTATTTTTCAATTATCTTATCTGAATATTTTTATGTACAAAATAATGAGAGGAATCAATTGGTGTAAAGAAAACACATAGTTGTTTTAAAAAAAAATATGTAATTTGCAATTAACAATTACATTTTTTTTTAAAACAACTATATGTTTTCTTTACACCAATTGATTTCTCTCATTATTTTATACATAAAAGTATTAAGGTAAGATAATCGAAAAATGAATATTTTGCTAGATATTTTATGGTTTATGCAAAATTAAGAAATTATTTCAAGCCTCATAACTCGATAAGTACTCAATGAAGAAATACTTTATTATAGTGAAATACTTTATTATAATGTTTTAGAAAGCTCTCGAAATAAGCTACATGAATATGTAATAAAAAATAGGAGGTTCCATTTAAGAAATTGACGGTGATCACATGGCTTTCAAATGACTCTCCCATGTCAAATCATTGCCACTATCTGATGGTCCCCTTCAAGCCATACAACTTTTGTTTGAAACATTTTTTTCTAAAGTGCATAGTTTATGAAATATTCGACTGGTCCGGGACTTTTGGGACACTCTGTATAATTAAATTTTATTCTGATGCGATTGCATTGTGAGATATCGATAAACATATCCATATTCGGTAAACATGTTTTTAAAATATGCGTTATTTTATTGCCACGCCGTATGAATAATATTCCACATTTCTCGGAAAGCGATCGTGATATGTCAAACATTAAAATTATTCGTATATGACAAAGGTAAAAAGGAATGAAGGGAGAAGCGCGCGAGTAAAGTTTGAGTTGAGATATAAAAATTGTCGATTACAATTGAGATTTTATTTTATTTTCATATTGTTACGCGTGATAAATAATTAAAAGCATATGATTTACTACTTACATTAATCATGACATTAACCTTAATAACAATATGCTGGAAAGATATTACATCTATAATCATCAAGCTATATGTATACATTTTAGTCTAATCTATTGCAATAAGTATACATTGAGAGAAATTCTATAATGTTTCAATGATGTATTTATCGATCATTAATCATTAGTGATAAGTAAGTGATAATTGTATTTACAGAATTCCGTTCTGGTTCATAGCACGAACGGCGTGAACTATTGAGTTCAAATTTTTGGTATTATCAATATGCAGCGACATGCTACGTATGTAATAAACTCTAGATATAGTTTGAGGTAGAAACTTCGCACTACTTATTTGGAAAACCAATTTGATATGATGATTAATGGTGCGTATATGTTGCGAAAAATATTTTTCCTTATCCTAGAGGTGTACCAGAAATCGACGAAAACATGACTGATTTTAATTAGTAGGCAGAATAATAATCATTTGTGCCCCCCAAAGTTTATCAGCCGTTACCACGAATCTTGCATTGATTAAAGAAAAAGAGAAAAAAACTCATCGTCAAACACAATTTGATAAGGTGCAGATTAGTGACTGCAAGAGATATTTTTGCAGATATTGCTATATTTATCGTATAACTGTGTGTGACTTTAAACATAAATTTAAAGCGCATGACACGTAAAAATAGCAAGGTGCTTATCTTAGAGCTGATACGCACATTGCGAAATGTTTTTCCCTTTTAGAAAGTTGCCTCTTTATTTTTTTTTAATTTTCAGTAAATTAAGTAATTAAAATTGCATCATTGAAATAAATACCTTATATTTCATGAGGAGCAAAGGAGGAAAAATAAAATGTTATTCCGTGCTCATCGAAAAACCGTTTATTTTATGGAATAAATATTTTTCTATCTATGCTATTATCTAGGAAGTACACATTATACATATATAAGTATGCATTTTTTGCCGTCCTTGTTCATATATTGAAAAAGATATATATATATATATATATATATATATATATATATATATATTATTTTTTAATTATTGGTACACTGACAAACAAACGAAAAATGGATAGGACGAAGTTGGACGAAGGAAAACAACAGTGATGAAAGAAGAAAAAGGGATGAGATGATAGAGGACAGCTGGACAGAGAAGAGATGAGTTACAAAAGAATCGATTTTTCAAGGAGCTTTCTCTTACACTCTAATAATTGCTTTATATAAAAATCGCAAAGAGTTTTTTATAAACTCGTACGTGTATATGTATATGTTTTTTTTTCCATTAAAATCACATAAAGTTTAAGGACGGTGCGCGCAAGTCGATCGTATATCGTATACTATTTTACAAAATGTAACTACAAACAAATGTAACTACAGTGCACTTGACTCGAAGCCGAGGGAAAAACGTGGAATTAAGTGTTACTCCGTACAGCGTAAAAAAATTTTTAGCACGATTTTGAAGATTGCCATATAGCAAAGATTGAAATTAGAATAGAATTTTACTTCTCGATGCTATAGATTCAGATAAATGTCACATTATCGCAATTATTGCACTTTTCATTGAGTATATACAAAAACCTAAATTCATCGAAATTTTACTGCTTTCCATCGCTACATATAACTAGAATCGTTTAAGTGTCGGAGAGATATGTCTATACATATTATAGCATTAATCCTTTCCTTCATGATGCAATTAAGCATTATACAAGGATCAAAGACGGATCCTAATGAATCTATAAAATTAATCGGATTTCACGCTTATCAAGGAATCTTTAGAATTATCATATCCGAAAATATATTTGTCAATTCTTGAATATATTACGTAAAGCGTGAAACAAGAAGGGATACGTGTAAAAAAAACGTCGTTATCCCTTCTTAATAAGTGCATCTCCCGATTCGTTAAAATGCAGCTATTAATACTTAATAAGTTATGAAGAAAGTTATGAGAATTTCGCGTTTGTTGCGCGAATAACGTTTATTTATCTAGAAAAAAATGTTCAATACTTATTTTTTGCGATCGTAAACATTTTTGCGAAATTTTCAATTTTCGCCGTATCGAAGAATTTCAAACTTCAGATATCGCATCGTGTGTGTAATTACAATTTATTTAAAACCATACTCGCGTTTTAGAAAAGCGAAGGACAGAGTCGCCGATATACAAATAACATCCTTATTAGATCCTTTCAGGATCCAGGAGTCTCAGCGAAGCAACACCATACTCTTTTGCTACAACTTATTTACACAATTCGAAACGCTCTCTCGCACACACACTCTCACAATTTGCTAAAAAAACGATCATAATGACAAAAATTATATATAATATCTATATATAATATATTATAGAAAGACGAAGGGATGGGGAAAGGGAGAGGAAAAATCATTAGAAAAACAACGATTTTACTGTACACCGAGATCTGTTGGCCAACACGTTTCCATCGATCGTCGACGATCTCAATTAGTGTATATTTTGTTTGCAATATAAAGAAATAAAAGAGACAAAAATATTATATTTTTTCAACACAATTTCGCCATATTGAAAATGATCGAATTATATTCTTCGCTGCAATTTATTGAAAGTCTCGCGAAGGAGATGTGAGAGTGGAAATTTCCAAGTTTTATACTGCTTATCACCGTGTTAAACTTCTACGAATATAGAAAACATATAGTAATTTTTAAATTCATAATATTATAAATACCCCAGGTTCTCTCGCTCCTGCCTTCGAGGAATAGGAAATTCGTGTCTTGGAGATTTATAATCCCGAGGTCGTATACGTGGATCAGGTGCAAACGTATCGGCGTCTTAAAAATAATACCGTGACTCTAGGAACTATCCGCTTTGCCATGGATCACCATCGGGATACCTGCCGCTGACGACACGAGTTCCTCCTTGGCATCCAGCGCACAGTCTTCGAGGAGATCCTCGCGAATCACCACCCGCACACTTTACGTCTCTGCTGTCTCGCGCTCCGAAGGGATCCGCATCACGCGACCACTCTCCGAACAAGGCACTTTCAGTCTATCGGATGAGGAATCGCCGAGAACGCGGCGACGACAATTGACGACGATTGATGAGGACAACGATGATGATTATCGGAATTGATCAGAAGGAGAGCATCGCGGGACGTTGTCTTGTAAGGGGCTCTCCACGTTGCTCTCGTCATCCCGTCTGACTCGTAGGTGGACTATGAGCAGCCACACTTCTCGACTACCATGCCCGGTAGTCGCGAGAACACGATCTGATACTCATTGTCGAAGTACAGCATCGTGATCTCGGACAATTTTCTAGGCGCGCAGCATGGTCCAGTATTATTCGGCGGTTCTGCTAGGCTGACGATATGCGTATTGGGATAGGCCGGAAGAAAAGCCATCGGACAGTCACCCGAGCAGTAATTGGCATCGTATCTGCGACAAAGATTTAGGGAGTCGATTGTTAATGCAAATTTTACCAATCCATCATTCAGCGCTAAGAGACTGATTTTCATTTCTTGAGATTTATTTTTTTCTTTATTAATTATTTTTTGTATTAATTTTATAAAAAAAATTTTCCCAGACAGCACAAAAAGACCAAAAGATGTCTTAAAGATGTCTAAAGGACTTTAAGATATCTTTAAGTCGTCTTTTAAATGTCTTTTGGACATGTGTGTTGTCTGGGTTATTTTGATCGTTGAAATAATTGATAAAACTCATATTTTTTTATCTTGAAAATAAATATCGATGAGAAAACAATCTGACTACTTTCTCTAAACTGAGAAAAAAATCTGGTTGTATTAATTAAAATTCTGGTAGATTTAATCAGTATATCTGTTGGAAAATGGACGAATCAGAATTCTAGTAGGAATTACCAGATGAATCTGATTAATTTCTTCCTGTTAAATTTACCAAATTTTTCTGGATATAATTTAAAATTAATTTATCAAATTTTCATTTTTCTGGCTTAATAATACTAAACTCACCAGCACCAAGTAGTCTAAAATTGTTTCCATCTAATCTCAAAAGTCTGTTTAATATTCTGTATTCCAACAAGATTATTGGATAAGTTCAATCCAGATTATTGAATAAATTATTTTAAATTCAGTTTGTTAGAAATTAAACTGATAAACAGTGATGCAAGAAGAGCAGCTCAAACACACAGAATCAGAGAGCTAGCGTTCTCTTTCTGGCACTACTGCTCATAAGAGAAAAAAAATATACTTTAGATTTAATGTTAATACTGGTTCTTTATATACATTTCATGGCAAATATTGAATACGAATTAAGTTAAGAGAGTAAGCAAAGAAATTAATGTAACAAGAAATTTTATAGATTCAACCAGAAAATACTAACCAAATCCTTATAGTAAAATCTATTAAACGTTCTAGTTATAAAAAATCGAGTTTTATCATGATAACTAGAAATTTTTGTTTGATTTAACCAAAATGCCTTCAATCATACACGTCTTCCTGGTACAATCAAACGATTTTTCTCAGTGTACGGATATAAATAATACAATTTATTCTTATAGTTTAAAGTTAATTCCTGATACATATATTTTTATTGAAAAAAGTATACGTCAAACTCTAGTCCGATGTGCATATTTTAATTAAAACTTGTATACAAAGATTGCGAAGGGAAACAATCAACTTTGTATTCATTATTTTTACATTCTGCAATATCATCGTTAATGTCATTATAACAAATTAATTTAAAATATACATTCATACGCAATATTAATGAGCGCAAATAGGAGATATTTTTAGATTGAACGTGCGTAATAACCGTTTAGTATTGTTGATGTAAAAGTTGTTCTACGTGCCAAGAAAGCTACAGTTTCTGCAGTGAAGCCAAGTGTAGCTCAAATATTTTCTTTCACTAGAAAAATCTGTACGAGTACGTGCTTAACTAACGATGCATTAATCGTTTCGCAAATCAGAATATATATACATGTATATGCTCTCGTGGAAGCATTATACGTTTCAGAATATTCTACTAAACGGGCAAATAATATTATAATATTATAATATTATTACAATATAATAATATAATAATATAATAATATAATAATATTATAATATAATAATATTATAATATTATAATAAAATACATCGATCTAATAACTCAAATGAATAAATTTATTATAATCTCCGATATATAAAAAGAGATAAAGATAGAAAGAGAGGGATTTCTAATAAATCATTTTCTGTTTATTTGTCGTTAAATCTGATTGCCTAATTCTGATCTTTGACTCGATCTTACAACAGAAAACAAGTACAGGGTAAAAAACATTTTGTATTTCTGTTAAAATTTTCTCGTGTAAAAATTTTTGTGTTAAATTTTTAACATACTCTATGTTAATGTAACATATTATCGTTGCGTTATTTTGACATTCCTGCGTAGAGTTAATATTCACGTCTTTCTAAGAATTAAAACAACACAATTAATATGTAAATGCACGAATTTTTGATGAAATATGTTATATGTTAAAATGAACAGATAAGTTGTGTTATGTTTCTATCTGTAACAGTTTCCAGATGTTAAATCGACATATCTCTTCTGTTATTTATCATAAAAATGTAAGAATAACATTTTCTTTTAATTAAATTTAACATTATAAATATGTTAATTTAACATAAACTTTATTTCTAGATAAAGTTTAAGTGTTAGACTTTTGTGTTAATTTTTAAACCTATTATTTGTGTTATTTATTTACATACTTGGCTTCTGTTAAATTAACATTAAAATTAGACTGGATAAATTGGGACATGTGAAATATGTTAAATTTAACACAAAATTTTTTACTGTGTAGTTAATATATTTGAAACATTGCTCGCAAAATATGCGGATAAATAACGGCATTAAAGAAATAGGATTTATAATCGACCGATGTAAACCTTTCTAAAGATTAGAGAATCTTGATAAAAGAAAATGGGAAATGGAAAAATATCACCAAAAATGTACTCACTTTTTCGGTGCGATTATCCAATCCCAGCCAAATTTTTCAAAGTCCACTGTTAGCTTATACCGGCAACACCTAGTCTCCTGACTAGCCTCGTCGCAATTGAGTCCCACGTTTCTCTTGATCCTAGAGCTTCTTCGCGAATCGAGTTCCTGCATCTGCACTTCGAGATACGGTGCGTATTCTGCGCCGGGATTGGTCTCGACCAATCGAGGCGAATTCCTGCGATGATTCCCGCCGGATCCAGTGATCTTCAAAGCCACTCCAAGATTGTCCCGGGGATGTTTGAACCACTCGGCCACCATTCGTTTGAGCTCGATCGTGATCCAACCTCCCCGTCGTCCAAACAGTCGAGGGTGCTTCGTGGTGAGAGGTGGACCCAATAGGGGTCCGCCAGTCTCAGTTGCGCCCCGAAGAATCCTCTGTAACGTGATTGTTACCGGACCAGCATCTTGATCTTCTAGATCGATCGATTCGCCGAGCTCCGCGGTTTCTTGATTGACACCCCATATCCACAAAGATAATTCTGCTTTAGTAACGCGATGCTGAATGACTTTGTCGGAGAATTTAAAGTACAACACGTCTAAGTTGCCCTTTGAATGCCTTAGCCTTTGATCTGGAAAAGACAAGATATACATAATATATAAATCTCATAATACACAATAATTATCTCTCTCTCTTTCTCATCAATCATATGTATATATATATATATATATATATATATATATATATACTTTTGAATGACCCTGTATATATATATATATATATATATATATATATATATATATATACAGGGTTCCAAAAGTCCCGGACAAGTCGAATATTTCATAAACTATGCACTTTAGAAAGAAATGTTTCAAACAAAAGTTGTATGGCTTGAAGGGGGCCATCAGATAGTGGCAATAATTTGACATGGGAGAATCATTTGAAAGTGAAGATCACCGACAATTTCTTAAATGGAACCCTTTATTTTTTATTACATATTCGTGTAGCTTATCTCGAGAGCTTTCCAAAACACTATAATTAAATATTTCTTCATTGGGTATTTTTCGAGTTATGAGACTTGAAATCATTTCTTAATTTTGCATAAACCATAAAATATCTAGTAAAATATTCATTTTTCGATTATCTTACCTTAATACTTTTATGTACAAAATAATGAGAGGAATCAATTGTAAAGAAAACACATAGTTGTTTAAAAAAAAATATGTAATTGTTAATTGCAAATTATATATTTTTTTCTTAAAAACAACTATGTTTTTTCTTTACACCACCATGATTCCTCTCATTATTTTACATAAAAGTATTAAGGTAAGATGATCGAAAAATGAATATTTTACAAGATATTTTACGGTTTATGTAAAATTAAGAAATGATTTCAAGCCTCATAATTCGGAAAGTACTTAATGAAAACTAACATAATTATATGTTTTGGAAAGCTCTCGACGTGAGCTACCAGAATATTTAATAAAAATATTTAATAAAGAATGGGGAATTCCATTTAAGAAATTGACGGTGATCTTCACGTGACTTTCAAACGACTCTCCCATCTCAAATCATTGCAAGTATCTGATGGCCCTTCAAGCCATACAACTTTTGTCTGAAACATTTCTTTCTAAAGTGCATAGTTTATGAAATATTCGACCGGTTCGGGACTTTTGGGACACCCTGTATATGTGTGTAGGCACGGAAGTGTCCTCCTCCGATTTTGATGAGCTTTTAATATGTTGTTTCCTAGACAAAAATAAGGGACACGTATTTTTTTATACGTGTGTCTAATAATCCGTGCCCATACGCGTGTCTAATAATCCTTTGAAGAAAATCAGTTTTTTTCTTTCGAGATGAATATTTCAGAAACTATAAGTGATAGAAAACAATTTTTAAATTAAAAGTTAAATGGCTTCAAGAGTTCTTTACAACAATAACAAAAAAAAATTTTTATTTTTTTTAATTTTTCAAAATAATTTTCAAAATTTCTTTTTGTTATTGTTGTAAAGTATTCTTGAAACCATTTAACTTTTAGTTTAAAAATTTTTTTCTATCTCTTATAGTTTCTGAAATATTCATCTCGAAAGGGAGAAACCGACTTTTTTCAAAGGGATGTTTTAGCATCCTTTAGACATGCGTATGGGCACTTATAAAAAAATACGTATCCCTTATTTTTGTCTGATAAACAACATATTAAAAGCTCATCAAAATCGGAGGGAGACACTTCCTTGTTAGAATAAGAATATTAATTGCATAAGATTTCTAATTGCACACATTGATATTCAGATTTTTATTTCTAATGCTCTTCGCAATATTATAATTTTCAATCGAGTATGATTATTTATGCTGCGTAGTACAAATGCATTAGGGTGTATGGTTCGCGTAAATTATGTCGGAAAATTCCAAATAGGAGATATAATGTCTCGTCGATAGTCTTGTTGATGCGCTACACACGCCAACGATGATAAAGTGCCATTTCTTTCCCAATAATCCGTATATGAATGCGTCTTTTCGGGTTTTTTCTTGTTTTTTTTTAATGTAGAGAATTCGCCATCGGATCTCGCATTGCATCATTTATTATTTGTGAATGAAAAGATTCTCAATGTAGTCGATATACTATATCCTCGAAAGTATAGTACTCGATAAAGTAGTATCGTTGCAGCGCTTAATGATTTCATGACCACTTTGTGCTATCTACATAAATACTGGATATCATGAATGAGGTAAAATAAAAAAATAAAACAGTATTGATTTTCGCTGACGTATAAACAAAGATATATGCTCATATATATATATGAACTGATGCATTTTGGAATACAATTTTTGATTCGCATTTAAATGTCATCACAATCTGAATAAATATTCGAGTGACTGTTTTTCTTATGCATATTATTTACAAACTCAAGAATATATCTTGTCATATTTCTGCGCTGGTTAGAAAATAGTTTCAAATCGGATGTGCGTTAGAATTTTTTTTTTTCATCTCCTAGCAAGATAAAGATATCAAAATATATCTGCGTTCGCGAAAATATCAAGTATCACGGTGATACCAAAGATCGCAACATAGTATAAGCTACGTTACGACAACTTAGTTAAGTTGCTTTAGAGGTTATCGGATAGAAAATGAACGCGATAATCATTTACGTCAAGCTATTTCTAGTGCATTGGAGTACAAAGTTAAGGATTCGAAAATGTTTACCTTATTTTATTAATCATACGATGACACGATCAATAAACGCTAGAAAGAGTTTATAAAAACACGGAGATCGTAGAAGAAGCGGTATGGCTTTTGATGATTTACATCGATCATCGCGTTACATTGAAATTGCATTGACTGTAACGCGCGCGAATAATTATTTCTAATTGGTCGATAATCAGACGAAAGCATCGGCGATAAAATGGCGTTATTAGAAAATACTGTTTCTCATCGCGAATACGAAAGTTAATTGATGCGTAATAATACGTTTTTTGATCGGCTTTATAACGGCGACGTAATGTCGACTATTCCGCACGATTTGGTCTTTTTATGAATAAAAAAGATCATAAATTACATGTAATAATCTCATACATAAGCATGTACACGTATGTCGGTCTGTGCGCGATATAAGAGCATACTTCTTAAAATAAGTATATCGCGGAGATATTGCGAGAAACATCCTTCGACTTCGTCGATCACGATATTTTCTTCATTGATCAAGTGAAGCATACATTTTGTGTTTTTTTCTGATTGCTGATGGTAGCAATTTAAGTGGTTGTAAAGCGCGTTTCCTTGAGAATCGTAATTTTGTTAATTACTTGAACTCTTCGATGTTATACTATCGGCATATATTATCAAATACACTTGTAGATATACTTGTAGATAAAATAAAAAACATGCTCGCAATTGATTATCCGTGTTGTGTTTTCTCTGGTTGACGAATACATCTTCGGAATTGCATGGATTTGCAGAAGTTTGTGAATCATTGACACATAATCATTGACACGAAAGAGTCAAGGAGGAATCTCTTTCGGGTCATACACTTTTTACGATATATGAAATGTTCAAAGAGATAAAACGCACAAAAATTCCTTGTACAAATAAAATTTTGTAATTCAATTTATCATAATTCCACTAAAGGTGAAATATCGCTCCAAGTTTTTATCCTGCAGTTTTTTCGCACTATACAATTAATTGATAAAAAGTTTAATTTTTCCGTAATTTCCCTCACGCTTATTATATAAAAAGATAGATTGAAAAACATTAAACGAGTTAAGATATGATTTTATTTCATAAACGGCAAAATCTTTGCTTCCGATATCCTTTTGCTTGTCTCATTCATTACGCCTAGCTTTCATGAGATCGAGATGAGTTGCGACGCGATTGCAGATCGGGATTGAGTAGATCGTGAATAAAACATCGACAAAACCTGAAGGATATGGCTAGTTTTCAAAATAAGAGGATCCGTCAATTTAGAAACTTCTTCTCTCGTTGACCGCAGCGTATGTCGTGGTGTCGCAAAAACGCTTCACAAATACCCGCGCAGGATTTCCTCGTGATTGTAATACCCGCGATCGAGAGATCGGCAATAAATCAGCAAGAGAGAACTCAGCTGACCGTCGTTTCTTGTCGATCGCGGTGACACGCACGTGTGTCCGACATTTGCCCCGATGACCGACGTTAAACCCGATCTTGGATCTCTCTTCTGGAGAACGATCAAGCGCGGATCGATCCATCGAAACGCGAAAAGGGGAAAAAAGAAGAAAGAGAGAAGCGGCGCGACAGCAGGCAGATTTATATACACCGGTAAGAGACTCTATTCAGGCCATCGCTCGGTGAAGACGACCGCTTCCATGAAGGGTAGAGCCACCTCAAATCGTACCGTTATACGAGAGCGAGCGACGTTTTTCTCCCGATCGATCAATCAACGCGCACTCGGCGCGTATTGATACGCGACTTTGCGCGCATCTTCTAAGCCGGCCACACTCGTCCTGGTATTCGACTGGTTCCTCGCTCGCCGGTGGCTGTAAGAAATTTTCCGTGAAACTTATGAATCTCGTGCAACGTTTCTCGAGTTAGAGGACACGACGCAATTCGAGGAAGATTTAGAAGAAAATGATTTTAGATGATCACACTGAGAAAAAAATCTGATTGCATTAATTAGAATTCTAGTAGATTCAACCAGTATGTCTTTTGGAAAATGAACAAACCAGAATTCTTGTAGGAATTACCAGATAAATCTGATTAATTTCTTCCTGTTAAATTTATCAAATTTTCTGGTTAATAATATTAAACTCGCCAGCACCAAGTCGTCTAAAATTTTTCCCATCTAATCTCAAAAGTCTGTTTAATATTCTGAATTCCAACACGATTATTGCATAAATTCAATCAAGATTATTGAATAAATTATTTCAGTTTGTTAGAAATTAAACCGATAAACAGTGCACTGAGAAAAAAATCTGATTGCATTAATTAGAATTCTGGTAGATTCAACCAGTATGTCTGTTGGAAAATGAACAAACCAGAATTCTTGTAGGAATTACCAGATGAATCTGATTAATTTCTTCCTGTTAAATTTACCAAATTTTCTGGTTAATAATATTAAACTCGCCAGCGTCAAGTCGTCTAAAATATTTTTCCACCTAATCTCA